GAAAGATGGTGTTTAGGACAACTAAACGCAGCCAATTGAGAATCACACAGCAGGGTAGGTATTGGACTGTAGTTTCAGCTTTTTCCATCTGAGCCATGACCGTCTGATTGAGTCAGCTGTGGTACATTCCACCCATCGATGTCCATTCTGTACACAGGCCTCGGCGAAAAGTAAATAGTATGCACATACTAACACAAGTATGCCCCTTCGCCGAGAAGCAGAGTGCGATATGTCCTTGATAACAATTAACAATTCACAATAATATACCACAGGTTAAAAAGTAAGTGCTTAACAAGTCTCACAGTATGGTTGCAGTTAATAGCAAAAAAGCAAACGGTATTTGAGTCATCTACCCAGCGTCTACAGAGCTAAATGCGTTGATTAACAAAATTAGTGTAAAATAATAATCGGATGCAAGCGTACAGTAAGAACACGACGTGCAGTGATCGTGGACGTAAAGTGTGAGAAAATATGATCTCACTCAAACGTCGCCTCCTTGGGTCTATGTGAAGAGGTTCTCAGCTAAGCAATCAAGTGCGTAGTCTTACAGACATCACACCTTCTAAGAATTTTGTGGTGGTGGCTGGAAGCTGGGACGAAGGGAATCGTCTGCCTCCTTGCGGTCGATCAGACGATCGATCTAGTCGGCGGGTGAGTATTAAAATCACGGCTAGCCGCACATAACCTCAAAATCGTGAATAGAACGGTTGTGTGCCGAGCCGGTGTGAGTTCTTTCTCTTGACGTAACTCGGAGTACCAAGCACGCAGCAAATTTATTGGACTCAACAGTGACCGCATCCGTACATGACTGTATGCACACAAAATCGGAGCCTGATATTCATCCGTTTGCCATTAATTTGACAAAGTACCGCCTGAGGGAGCGTAGCGAAATGATTTGTGTCTAATACGTCTTGCGACTCCATACAAGTACTATCGGTTGTACTTGTAAACACTTATCCATCGCATCCTCGAACTCCAAAGCATCTTTTATTGTGACATGATGCAGAAACACGAAAAAAATGCTCAGTAAGAGGTGCACTTATCAAGCATTGCCAGCAACTGTACTTCGATGCTCTTTGGACATGACGAATGAGACATAGTGTGATGTTCTCACGCAATCTAATGTAGGCAAGGTAATTTGATTTACATTCAGCAGTTTTACGGCACATCTCTGCTCAGGGAAATCACAACAAATATTCCATTTCGGCATCATCCAAGAGTAAAACAAATTGACGCTCCAGTTTTTTTCGAGTTAGATATAGAATTGGCATTAAACCACAACCATGTGCAAAAACGCAATGCCAAGTGGTAAATCTGAAACCAATGTTAAGCTAATCCAGTACAGAACCATGCTCTGTTCTGGAAAAGCACCTAATGGAGTGTTCCAAGAAAGATCCAGCATTATGTAGTGAAGGGGCGCAGAAATCACTCACATAACGTAAACGCCCTTGACTGTTAGCAGTGGGCCTCTGAAGCTAGTCATTGCATGCCATTGACGTTCAGCACTGGCAGCTATGTGTGAAATAAAGGAGATAGCACTGGTCTCGCGTGGAGCATTCCTTCAGGAAGCCAAATATGGATCTACGGGACAAGGAAATTGCCAGGGGGTAATATGTCCACCCGGATTATAACCTAATTTCCATACATTCCAGAGTACTAGTTGCATAGCGGCACGTCATGGATTAGTGCACCACTAAACGGAGATAACTCATAAAAGAAGGAAAGCTGAAAACATAGCACAATTACATTGAAGAATATCGGAACAAAATCCAATGAACCTCTTGATTAGCGGTATCCGCTTTTGGATCCGGCTGTCACTGTGGCCAGCCACAGGACGCCTGCGCCTACAGAGGGACCATGGGTGGCTTGCGCTGCACCACCCACAGCTACAAACGCACAGCCCATATCCAGTGTAAATCCAAAGAAATATGAGCGGCGCATGTAGATGGGAGCCACGTTCCATCAACGGAGCCGGCCCACACTCCTTCACAGGCAAACACAAGCACGCTGGATTTGGGAATCAAGCACACGCAAGGTGGTGTTTGGACCGTGGTCCGCTCCACGCTGACTGCATGGAACCACAGTTCGAACATAACGCGGCCACAAGGACCGTGAACCCCGTCCCCTCCAGCAACGACCAAATGTCTCCTGAAGCCAGTATAGAGGTAGTAGCTAATAGGCAGGTAGGCACTATGTCAACATGCACATCAACGGCAGACACACCGGGGATATCAAACAGCAGCCAATCACATAAAATGGCATTATCAGATAAAAGATATCTGTCGAAGCATACGGCTATGCCGACATAACTCTTCGATAAGTCAGCGTATGAAGTAAGTTGGTTAGCAACAGATCCGCGATAAGTACAAAATTTCTGTAAGTCATTAACAATTGCTACAAACGCAAAAAGTTAACAAAGATAACTAAAATTAGCGTAAGAATCGTTTGCAAGTTGATAGAAGGCTGGTCATGTAAGCACAACAAGCCAAACAATATGGAATGTACGACGTTTAGGGTCATTTTGAAGTACACGTTTTGTGGATGGATTGCGACGCGCAATCTCAATGTTGACCGCGATTCATTTTGAAGTGAACCTTGGTCTTTCGATCACGAGGACCGTAGCTGATGCAAATAGAAATTGGGTGTTGCCCGCCCGTAAACACTGCACTACTATGACTCGTTTCGATGTTATTACATCTCATCAGATAGGGTTAGCAGGCATGGAACTCGGGACCATTGGGATGTTAGTTGTGACCGCTACCCCTAAGACACCGGGTCACGGCGGGCAACGCTTGGCACAACGGTCTAATAAACGATGTTTAGGGTCATTTTGAAGCACATGTTTTGTGCGTGGATTGCGACGCGCAAGCTCAATGTTGACCGCGATTCATTTTGAAGTGAACCTTGGTCTTTCGATCACGAGGACCGTAGCTGATGCAAATAGAAACTGGGTGTTCCTCGCCCGAAAACTGCACTATTATGACGCGTTTCGATGTTATTATATCTGTCATCCAAATGGTCCCGGTTTCAATGCCTGCTTACTCTATCTGATGAGATGTAAAAACATCGAAGCGGGTCATAGTAGTGCAATGTTTACGAGCGGGCAACACCCAATTTCTAAAGTGAAATTTAATTTATTCAGCTTAGTAATACCTACTTTAAGTGGAAGTTGGTTTAGCCCATATGCGGTGAAGCAGATGGGCTAAATAAATGTAACATCATAAATGTAACATCATCCTCAGAATGGGACATAGTGAACCTCATACTATTACATGTAGACGCATAGATTGACTACACATTTACCACTTCTATCGCACGACCGCACCGGTAGACAGCAATCTGTGCGCGCGGTTTGTCAAATGCATGAGAAAAGCAACTACTTTTATTTTTAGCAGTAGTGGCTGTGATTTTTGTTTTGGAGTACCCAACTTTTGTGATTTATGAGCATCGTGTTAGTAGCTTTGCTGTAGCTGGATGAATGATGTATGCAAATAGTCAGTGCCCAGCGAGTTCCATGAAACTGTCAGTGAAGTAGTTGTACAAGCGAACGTATCGATAGGGCGAAGCGCGTATAGGTGGACACATAATGCATACATGAAGACGGATTGGAAGAATCCGCGATGCAAGCGGAATTGCATATTGTGCAGATATGCTACTAATAAGTGCATTCATTCCGACAAACGAGACATCCACTCTGCTTTGTCATTCCATTTGGAGTTTGCATGGTGAAGGTTTTTTCTGTGTCTAGTAGTGGTGTGGCGTGGACGGCTTATGCGTTCATTCCTCCTGCACATACAACTGCGGTTCCAAAGTGTTCTTTTACTTTGGGGGTCCATACGGCGTGCTGTTGGCTCGGTGCTGTTTCGCAGGCTTGTACCACGCTACTGATAACTGGTGCAGTAGTTTCTGCCTTTCGCCCACCACACGGTGGGTATGCCCGTCGCCCATTCTTGAAGAAGACTGATGAACACACGGTCTGGCTATATTATCACGTCTCTCAATCAGAACATGACCAGATGAGCTAGGTTATCCTCCGGCCGGCTCTTCATCACCGATAACGTGAGGCAGCGATAATGCAAACTGGGGAGTCAATTCACGACATATATTGGGAGAGGAGAAATTTCGACATATTTAAACTGGCTTTATAGCAAACATAATCTTTGCTGCTGGCCCACAAAAGTGGTGTTATTAGTGAGTTCTAAAATCGTCGTCTGTTCCTGAATGTCTAATATACCATTATAAGGTGACTCCGTAGACTCAAATGTTTACAATACCCGCTGGTCAGATACGAATAATTCGACTATTGGCCAAGTGTTGCAGGACTACAGAAAGCGAACAGTTTGCACAGTAGTGCCCAGTTCAAGGAATGAAGCTATTCTGGAAGCGAAAACGACTAATCGATCCTCCAAGTTTGCTGGCTTGCCGAACAACCTCCTCATGGTGTCAGCTGGGTGGTTCGGGTTTAGCTCGTTCCACCAAGTAGTTCGGCGGCAGTGTTCTAGGACGAGATGGGTTTTCGCCTCGCAAGCGTCCTCTCTATAAAAAGCTATGAATATCTGTTTAAAAACATTGTGACGTGCGGTTGTGACTTGCCACCAACTAAAGTCACCCCCTTGCTTTTCCGGAAAACCATTTCAAGTCCATAGACATCATCCCATTAACACTGGCGACACGTTCAAAAACGATCAAAAGTGCAGGAAAGCATTTAAAAATCCCATAAACACAGCTACTCACGCCTACATGCGCTAATACATACATTCATCTCAACATATGTGACAATGCTATTGTTCTATTGTACATTAACTGATCACTTTTTGTACTCTTACCATGAGTTAGGCTGTGCAGGCGTGCCTCGCGTAGTCGAGAACAAAAATTTTGTTTGTTTATTTATTTAAAGTTTGTTCATCATTATTTTTCCACCTAAGTTCTTGGTCATTGTACACCAGTCGAGGGAGCTATTATATTCCACGATCTAACTGTCTTATCTTTTATCATTGTAGGACAAGTACGTACTCATGTCGTTGGCAATACTCTGCGTGGTCAGCGTGTGGCACGCTGTGGTAACTCTCATCCCGACGGATGCCGAACTAGAACAGGCGACCGCAACAAATATGTTGAGAGCACCAACGCAGAATAACACGGGCTACAGTGGCAAAGGATCAATATTAGCCGAAGACCTCACAGTATTAACGCAAAATCGAATAAGGGAGCGGTCTGATGTGAACATTACAGATACACTTTTACAACACACCGGTGGAAACGATAAAGTAAGTAACTCCTTTACATTGGTGTGATCTCACCCAGGTGAGCTGATGTTACATGCACCGTCCATAATGCCGAGGTAACAACGCACTCCCATAGTAAGCGGAAGCTCAAAAGTACGTGAGATAATCGGCCAAATACTGTCGCATGTCAACAACTTATATTTGGTGTTGGATAAACCTAGAAATTCTATCACACGGAGTGGTAAAGCTGTCAAATCAAACTTTACGCCTACTGGCAATTCAATTTGATAAGTATTCAGACTAATACTAGCTCAGAATATGTTTGGAAGTTTTCGGTGGTTCTACCAAAGGAAGCTGTCTTGCCTCCACCACTTTATCTTTGTACGATAGCCAGTTATTTGTCATTTTATCTTATTGACACGGTATGGGAGTCTTGGATCTGAATGTTTGCTTAGGACATTAAGGTTTTACGCTAGGTCGCACTGTACTCACCCTTATTATTCCTTGTTCCGTAAGTCTGTAGTTGTACAGCAGAGAGGAATCCGTTCGAATGGTTGACGTTGGTGATGATGAGCTGGGTACTTTAGCCGCAAGCGCTTCGCCACCAGAATAGACGGCATCATTAATGGCAACTTCTAGTGAATTAATATGCTAATATTCCCGAATTGTTTTCTATTTCCCCTCAGAGTTCAACAGTTTGTATCCGTGTTCCTCATTGGCTGGTTGGCTAAGTAATCGTTTACTTTGTCCAGCTGATCTGATGCAGGTAACCGGATTGCTCAGCGGCACTTCGTAGATAGCCTCCACTTCCAACAATCTGGGGTGTTGACTTCACTTAGACTACTTACTGTTGCTAACGCCTCTCCTTTATGCACAACCGTAAAAAGCTGAGGTTTAGTCGGAGCTCACTACCAGTTCGTCCGGCTCGATGGGAACCCCTACAATCTTTGGGGAAAACTCGTAAGTTCTTCATGAACGTACTTTCCCCCCCCCTACCCATGGTTTCCATGGCGGGTTTGTGTGTCAGAGCGACTATACAGTCGACTATGAGCCGCATGGGAAGGTCGGTCTCATGTATAGTTGGAAAACTCTAAACCCTTGGTGGCCGAGTCGATTTCGGGTAATCATACTGCAAATTATCTACTCCTAAATTATCCCACGTCGGTCTTAATTAGTCATAAACTCTATCCTATTCAGGTGCGTTACTATTGTTGCAGTTTTTCCTTTAAGTGCATACTATGGGACTGCTTTCAACTGCAGCTCTTTTTCCAAATATTTTCTAATCAGCCTATGTGATCACAATACCGGGATGTTCATTTAAGGACCTCAACGCTATACCTTGTATTAGTGCAAAGTTCTGCTCTCCCGGTTGTTGAAGTCTGAAAACATTTATTACGCGCGTACATTTACCCATGTGTCAACTCGCGAGATAGCTGTACACACAAATTGCAGAACACGAAACACCAACTTTTCGACTACCGATAATCAGTCCTGACTATTATGGACTCGGTCGGGATGTTACATGGGCTGGACACAGGGCACTAACTCGACATGGCTGCTGTCGAGGTCATTAGGACGGGTTCACAATCAACGCCCAGAGGCTGATTCCAAAGGCGGCGCAAATCTCCAAGTTCTACAGCTGCGTGAGCAGAATGGAGGGGTTGCAACTCTCATTTGACGAGTTAGCGATATTAATCCATTCTGACGAGTGTGCTTGCGGTCGAAAAACGTAACTCGACTCCGCAATGTCACAACTAAAGGCATAACGCCCACTGTGATGATGCACGAGGGAACGCCAGGAGTATCTCGGCTGTGGCCGAACACTTTAATTTGGCAACACGACGTGACTGCAGTGATCCGTTGACTTATATTCCTATTATGATGATTATCCCTCCTGTTCTCCATGAAATTCCACTCTGGTTGCCTGCTAATGTACATAGCCTAATGAAGCGTTTGTGTCGAAAGCGAAAATGTGCGCAATAAATGCATTACCCGATTGTTTAAAATGCGCGGAAGAAAACTAAACGCTTTAAATTTCTCCAGCCGATTGCTCTCAAACCTCGTTGAACTCATACACATGACCTTCAGGTCCTCGAGCTCCTATCAACGGCACTTAATACTTATAACCGAAATGGCAATGCCACTGTCATGTACCCTTCCACTTGAACAAGCCTACAACTGCAGGCAAACAGCCTTTGACGATGTGATTTGAGCAGAGTCAAGGCGCTTAGTCGCCTTGGCTGGCTACATCTGTTGTAGCCTGTTGACCAATTTTAAAAAAGCGAGTAAGTTCGCCATGCCCTCGGTTTTTAGAGTTCTGCAGTCGGAAGGTCGGACTACTCAAGTAACAATTGTTAGACTAGATGTAAGCGAATGTGTTGCTCCTTCAGTACGTCTCACGGAGAAATTCCTTCTCCCTAGGCCTACTAATGCCTACTAGGTGCACAAGAAACCGTAAACTAGCTTAACAGTGCGCACAGGAGCAAGCAAAAGCAGTGTAAAGAGCAGTCTGCCATCACCATGTGACCGCACTCAGGAGAATAGTTGTCTACTAGAAATCGTACCTAAAGCCTTCATTGGACTTAAGAGGGCTAGACATCCTGGAGGGATAGCCACTAACCTTCAGGACAGAGTGGGTATCCACGTTTGGGGTTCGCCTAGCTCAAGTATTTACATCATTTCAAACGTGTATCGCCCCTATTGAACTCGAGAACATTGTTTACGGTGTTGAGGAGGGGCGTCAACTACTAGTTAACTTTGACGCCACCAACCTTACTGGGCATGATAGGCTGCACCCACTGACTCTAAAGTAATTATCGGCTATCACCTCGCCTGCTGTGACTAACCTGTTCAATAGGTCTTGGTCCGAAGTGTCATTGCTGATCGATCGGAAAGGCTCCGTGGAAGTGTCGACGCCAAAAGAAGTGATCTCAGCAGGATAGACTTTTAAAGCTGCATTTGTTTGAAACCTATTTTGGCCAAGGTAGCAAAGACGAACTTAAGAACTTTCTGCGGCTGTTTTGGTAGAACGATCATCCGACGCCTGCAAAGCACGGTTTCATGCTAGACCGTTCAAGTATTACAAAACTATTCGTGACAAGGCATGAATGGTTGCAGACACTAAAAAACCGGAAGTCTGTCGATGTGGTTTGCATTGACTTCAGTAGAGCGTTTGACAAAGTGAACCCCAAGATCCTCTTCGACATGCTGAGGGTGCGAGGTGTTGATAACTCAAAGCCCCCAGCTGATCCGAGAGTTTATCGTTGGATGAAAATGGGGAGCACAAGTCGACTAAAATCTGACCTACCGGTATCCATGCACAAGTGACCTACCCCAAGGCAAGGTGATGCAGCCTATCTTGTTCCGGACCCATATCAACGATCTACTCGAGCTCTGGCGGTACCCGGGTGCCCTGTTTGCAGCTGACCTGAAGATGTGGAGATTGATTGGCACACCGAACCATTGCAGCCTACTTTGGATACAGCTGACCGCCATTCACCATAGGGTCACATGAGGTAGACAGCCGCCGCCGTAGTAGTGCACAGTTCAAGAAAAGTATCCATCGAGAAATGGAAATCGACATACCTACAACTCTGTGTACTTCTCGATGTGACATGAGGAAGTGCATTCGTGGTCAAGATCCCGAACGGATCAAGTCGTTGCGTTTCAAACACATCTGTCTCTTGAGGTGCCGCTATGTGTTTCCATGGCATAGAGGCACTATCACAAATATTTACCGAGTCGTAGGCGGTAAATGTGATGTAGAATTGTGACCACACAGAAAACGACTGTGTCTCCCACTCGGATATCCTGCGGTCTTATTTCCCATGGTTCACTCTGATTAGGAAGCGTGTGTGCTCGTATGCAGTAAAAGTAACACCGGCTACGGAAGCGACAAGCGCCGATGGAAAGTAGACCATTGACATCGAGCGCATAGTGACGTAGCACAAGCGGTTGCGAGTGCCTAAGCCAAGGCAGGTTAGTAAGTCACCAACGTCGCCACGTAGGTCCAAGACCGAAGAGACGACCAGTCAGCTTAATAGGTGATCATCATCGACACAGCGCTTGATAAGTACGGTGCTTCCGATTCAATTTAATAACAGTGGCCAAAAATGTGGTCGAAGTGGAACGTATGCTAGATTATCGCTGAAGTTGGACTGTGCGTGTGTCTTTGTGTTGAGCTTCTTGAATTGAAGGTTTTGGATGTTGACTGATAGCCCCGGCGTGCTTGTGTTTAAGGTTCACAATGTGTCTAACCGTCTAACACCCCCACCTTGCCTACTGGCTCCAGGAGAGTTTTTATCTTTTCTGAGGGGTCTGAGTGCATGGTGCTCATGAGGGTGCTAGGCTCAAATAGTGGTTCCACGCAACGTGTGGAGCAGACTATTTCCCAACCACCGCCTTACGTACGTCTGGTAGGTAGGATCCCCCAGTTTGGCATGAATACTGATACTGTGCATGTCGAATGAGTGTGGGCCAGCTTCCTTGATGAAACGTAGCTGCCATCCACATGCCTTCCGGTCATATTCCTTCGGGTTGAAGCTGTGTGTGATACAACGCAAGACACCCATTGTCTATCTTGGTGTAGGTGTGCTATGAATGTCCTATGGAGGCCGCAATGACAAGCAAATCCAGACACGGATGCCGCCAACCATGTGTGTGTGCTGCATTTCGGGAGATCTGTGACCCTTTCGTTTACGTAAGTGTCCCGCGGTTGTTTGTATTTGCGATCGCAGGAAACGGGGACTTAGCGGTTGACGAATTTGCTACTCAGAAGAGATATTTCAATAGTTCTTAGGTGTATGACAGCATACAAATCAGCAGCTTTACTAGACCCACAGGTTGGAAAAAGCAAAGATATCAAAATTTCACCGCTCAAGTTGCGAGCTATCAAGAAGCTAGATACATCATTTGGTCATACTGTTGTGTAGCATTTATTGCTTAGCTGAATGTCGAATAGCTTTTCGAAGGTCACGATATATGGCGCACGCACCACATGTCCTGGCGGTGAATTCCAGTCTGAACAGATGCCAAGAGGGCAA